ATATTACACGTTTGGATCTACGATACACATTTTTCAATAAAAATGCAGGCATGATTTTGAATAATCGAATTGATTCATTCATGAGTATAGAATTTTTCTAAAACTTTTATGCTCGTGTTTACTGGAGATGGATATTTTTTAATACATTATTAAAATTATGTAACGAGCATTTTATCATGAATTTCTTTTTTAAATAAATAAATTCAGCATATGAGATACGTTACGTGTCTCTTTAGAAACTGTCTTGAATATACTAGCGAGTCATAAAAGCTATTTTGAAAAGAATGTCATTTTCTACAATGGTAGAAGAAGGTTATTACAGTTTTTTATGTGTTATTTTACCCTTGGAAAAACTCAGATTGGTAAATTACTCAAGGTTATTTATAAAAATATCCTTTTTTATTATTTTTCTTTTGCAATAAACTTTGACGATACATTCATTTTTAATTTCATTGGTCGAGATATTCTTTTACGAAAAAAATTCTACCTCTTTATACACACGTGGAGTCAATTTTACACCAGAAATTACCCACAGTTGATGGTGCAGGTAAAGTACAAATAAATGGCCGAACATACAGTGGAAAAGGTTTTAATAACAGTCTATTCTTATTTTTGTAAATAGTTGACCCAATTGGTGTTGGGCTTTTGATGGAATGTGGGTGATCTTAGGTGTATTCTTCAGAACAAAATCAAATGCTGACATTTGGATTGGATTGGAGATTTTTGTGAATTAAATGTACCTTATTGGACATAATCTTATTTAGATTATCTTCATTTAAAGCCTTCATAGGCTGTGAAGCTTCCCAAACAGTTCCAGTCAACTTTCCTATGACCTTTGAAGAAGCTAGAAACCAGGTTCCTTGGTGGGATCAAGAGTCAAACCTAGATCCTTCTAGTTAGGTACTAGGATGTTTTACCATTTGAGCTATCTCACACTTGTATTACTTTCCATACCAGCACTTATCGGAGCTTTTTAGCTACTACTATCCTTTTTCTAGCATTAAATAGATATTTAATGATTTGTCCTGAATCAACTGAACCTGTTCAGGTCACCATTTCAACCTATTCCTTGCCGATAAATTTTCCCATTAAGAGCAAATGCTGGATTGATGTTAGCATCTAGTAGTTTCTCACAACTGGATCACCATTGTCTGCTGTGATCAATGATGACCCAGACATTAACCAATGATGACCGCAATCTACATTTTCATTGAATGGTTTATATCGTTCACAATTATTGCAGCTTTAAAATGATTCACGTTATCAGGTTTTTGTAATCATGGATAAAGAAATAAACTGTCGGATAGAGATGCTCCAGGAAGTGAGAAAATGGAGCAAAGTATAGTTGGTGAAGAAGATGAAGTGAATAAAGTAATGAAAAAAAAGGTGAAGAGATAAGCGAAAAAATCTTCATAGTATCTAAAAAGGAAGTAGATTAATAAATTTTCAATGTTCTGAGTATTCAAATGGATTTTTGCTATGCTTAAATTTGCAAGGTAGATGTTTTGGTAGAGTTGAGTAGTTAGAAATTTCAATATGCTGAGAATTGCAAAAGAAAATCGACAGTACAGAATAATTCTTATTTAAATTATTCATATTATTTACCTACTAAAGCAAGTAACTGGAATAAAAAAAGTTTTGTAAATTTTATTTTCATCTTTGAAAGCTGTTAAATGTTTTTTTTTTGTTCATTTTTTATGTATATATTATCAAAGTAAATTCACCATATTCTTCGAGCGGACGTAATTCCATCAATATTAAAATTTAAAGCCACCAAAGTACATCATGGAATTTTATAAAGTCATCTTTTAAACAGTTTATTATATTATTACAATAATCACGTAGGATTTTTCAATAATCATCATTCTTTGGTAATTTATTCAACGTGATGACATATTTCTAGATCTAGCAGTGAAAAGTTGACTGAAAAAACAGTGAGCTGATAAAATTGTCTTCATAGCTGGGAAGGTCTAGAAAAGCATTGCTCAAGATAAAGAATAATGTTGAGGAAGATCTGATGAACTGAAATATGGTAAGAGAATAGTTTTAAAAAACCTCTCTAGTTAGTCTCATCTTAAGGCAACTCTCTATGAGTAAAGATAGATTCTTTGTTCAGTGAATAAAATTGAGAGAAACATATTTCTTGCTAGAATTTTTAATATAACCTATCTCTTTTCCAAAAGAAAAGGTCTGAGAAACCATCATCTAGGACAGAGATCACACTGATAGAAGTATTTCTTTGAATCTAACATAATTAATTAGCAGCTAATAAATATGTTATTTGAAAAAGAAATCAAATCAACATTTGTTAACAGTTGAGAAATTCTTTATTGGAGTAGATTTATTTGGTTCAATGAATGATTTCTTAGCTGCTAACAAATATTTATTTCTCATCTAAATACTATGATAAGACTCGATGGTAAGGTAAAATAACGGTAAAGCATAATCAAATGTTAGGTTATGTTATGAAATAATTTTTATTTATTGAAATTTTTTAAATAAAAAATAAAATGCAACAGTTTTGTAATTATGAATATTAATATTTTCTTTTAAACAATAGCTCGTCGAGCAATTACATTATAACCATTTAATGTCGTGTAAATTTTTAATGGTTTTATAAATATAATGACATCAGACAGCTCTTTGTAAAGAAGATTTATTAGCTACAAATAACTCTTTATTTGTATCAAACAAATGCTGAAGAATCATTTTAATGAATTCATTTAGTCTCACCAAATAAATCCTTCTATCAGTACAGTGGATAATTTTAAAAGAGGTTCTTACCAAAAAAGAAATCAATATTTAGATTTTTATTCAATGACCTATTTTGGTTCTATGACTAAATTTTTGTTATACTCTGATCATCCAAAAAATATTGACAAAAGAATTCTTAGTCAATAAATAATACAAAATTTGAAAGCTGACAATCAATTGACTGACATGAGTTAAAATATTGCTGAATCAGGAAAACAGAAGGATATAGTGAGAGAAATACAGAAGATTCATGAGTTTAGAGAGTATGATGAAGTCGTGATAGTTCTACCCATGCAACACAGTTATGTATAAATCCATATATATATATATATATGTTCGAGGAATATATATCTTTACACATAAAAGACAACAATGAAGACATTTGTACCCTTTATACAACTCTATTCAACTTAGTCTTCAAGCCATAAACATCATCTGCTACCTCCTCAAACTCGTTCAATTTTCTCAACGTGTCTACCTTATATATGACTTGACATTTGAGATCTCAACTAATGAATTCAAATTCGCTTCAACAGCAATTTCATTTGAGACACGAATTTCGAGTTCACTTATTAAAAAAATTCTGATATTGCCTTTACTAATAGGAATGTTACGTAAAGTTATTTTTTTTCTGATGTTTAGCGTGAATGAAAGCAAATGATGAATGATAAACTTTGCCATCTGGAATTTAAATGAGACAAAAAACTTAACCAGTGCCAAAAAAAATTGGCACTGGATGAAGCCAATTGTTGGCTGATCATAGGTTTTTTATTCATCTGATAAGAACATATGGTATATTTCCTAGCGAAAAAACTGGTAAGTTTAGTGCCAAAAAGCACTTGTTGAAGAGTGTAAGTATTAACATTACTGTCCATTAAAAACCAATTTAGTCATTTTTCTGCTATAATTTAAAATCCATTCACTTTAACAAACTACTGCTGCTTTGTAGAATTTTGAACATGGATCTTCTTACTGACTTTTTTAATTCCTCTAATTGGCTTTTGAAAAAAAGAAAGAGCAAAAAATTTCTTACTTTAGGACAGGTTTTTCAAATATATTACCTCAGATCTCCACCATCATTAAATTGATTACAATAAATCCTAAATGTGCAGTCTTCACTCAACCCATTCCCTAATTTTCTATTAAATTCAGCTAAGCAGCAACCCATTTTACTGTGAGCATTCAAATTGACTCAATATTTAACATATGATTGGCAAAGTTAAGTAAACACACGTAGACAGAAATACCATAACTAAGTTTATCAATGTTGGAACCAATCTAACCTTTTTGGTTAACTGATGATGAGTTATCTCAAATGCAATCGCTATCAGTTTTTAAACTTGTAATTCAAACTCGAGTTTAGAATCTAATACCCTTCATCAAAGCCGTATATAATTTTCTCTGGAATGATAATGATTCTAATCCATCTCATCTTAGGTGTTCCAATATTCTCCATGCAAATGGTCCTGTTAAACCAAGTAAGAGTGGTTTTACATGAGACTTTCTTCATCTCTGCATCATAAAAGTCCAAGTTCGTCCCCTTGTCATATAACAAGCTTGGAACCAAGTGCCTTCAAAAAGCCATCAATGGTATGGTAGAACCATGTAAATAAAATCAGTTTATGGCTCCTTCACTCATACCTTTGACACGACTTCAGTTGAAATGCGTAAAAACGTTTTAGGGATGGACAATAGAACTCATTAACTAATGAGAGCAACTTAATCGGTGCATTTAAAGCATCAAGTATTCATACCTAATTTGGATCAGAAGTGCTTCTAGTGGCAAAATTGTTGCTTCAATGATGGTCTTGCTCAATTCTAACTAAACACCTGGATAACTACCAGCAAATTTAAGGAAAAAAAGAGAACAATATGACCCGCTTGAAAGCAAACAATAAAATGCTAACAATTCGCTTGAATTTGAAATTGGGATGAACCCCAACTTGTAGGAAATTACCCAAATCAGGTTACTAAGGGTCATATCCAATAAAATCTCCTATTGAGCATGAAAATAGTTATCTTAACAAAGTGCACCTGACTTATTATAATCCTAGATGTCGTTATAGAGGAAATAATCATTTTATCGAACTTTAGCCAAACCAAATCGAAATCTTGATGGTCGATTTGGGGAAAAGATAATTTAGCATAAACATTGCATGGAAATTATTTCGATTTATCATCACTAAAATTGAATGTATTGAAAGAAAAAAGAGAGTAGAAAGTAATTGGAATCAAATTGATCTTACCTTTGAATTTATGCACCATCACCACAATAGTCTGTCCGTCAGCAATATAATATTAAACCACTCAGTCACTTGGACACACTTGAAAACCACTTATTAGTCACGCGATCGACACTTTATCTTTTTCATTGAGCTCGAGAGAGAAATAAAAAATAGAATAATCAGGTACAACCACACACATTAACATTAAACACATTAATCATCATCACTTTAATTAATTAATGAATAAATGAATTTTTTATTTAATTACTGAATTTCACTTGAAGAAATGGATTTTTCTAGGCCACTTCCACTGACTTTTACCACTTCGTTGTTTACATTTAGTAACGATGAGATCATTATTTATTTACCCAATAAAATTAATTATTTATTTATTTATATTTTATTTATATTTTTAATCACAGAAAAACACCTATTATAGCTTTGTATTTTTATTCTCTCGTCTCATCATTTTTTCTAATAATTGACAATAAATCGATTGGTCGTTAAAAGTCTCTCTCTCTTTCTATCTTAAAACGTCCGACTATTTTTTCATTTGTTCAAAATTTTTTTATTATTTTCCACACGAAAAAATGTCATATTATAGATATCTTGTGTATTTTAACATTCAACAATGATTATACACAATAGCTTGTTTTATTATGCAGTAATAATTATTATTATTATGAAACATGTAATGTATTAGTAAATTTAATTAATATTGATATCTTTTTTTTCTTTTATTATTATTTAAGTCCAATATGGATTCGTTTTTTTTTAATACCTTCACGGTAATTTTTTTATTGTTTATTCTATCTACTTATTTCCCACGAGTTGATTTGCTAAAAAAAGAAGTTTATTTTTAGAAAAAAATCTGTTAATTAACAAATGAATTAAATACTTATAAAAAGTGATGAAATCATTGATTAAATAATGCTTTAATAATTAATTCAGCATTTTTTTATTTAGAGCATAAATATTTTAATCAAATTCAACGATGTTATTAACGTTGTGGATGTTAATGTAATAATAGTAATTAATATTCTTTGATAAAATTTCTCAAAAGATAAAAAAAAAAAGGCCGACTTTGCATTCAGTGTAGTTCATTTGATAAAACGCCTCAAGGCAATGCAATTATTTTAATCTCCTCCAGTCATCAAAAACATGTTGCTTGAAAATATTTCCTTTTTTTTTAGTGTTCTGATTTTTTAATGACGTTGGAATAATATTTACATTCGGAAAAAAATCGTAAAATATTTCTTTACTATACAATGAATCATGTTCACCCTAGAGAATGACTAGGGATTTTTTTGAAATCAAAAATCAAAAGTTGGTCATCGGGAAAAATTACTTTAAATACTTTTGAATTAAAAGGGGAATTTTTGATAAGTTTTACCTCACGGTATCTCTGGAGGAGATTATTTGGAATATTCCTTTTTACATTAAAATTTTAAAAAGTTTTGTTTGAAAAAAAATTGATAAAATTTGATAATTTTTTCGGAAAATTTAAGAATAACATGTTCACTTGCATCAATTATCAACGCCAAAAAACGGTAATATTTTAATTGTTTTTCAGGATGATCTAGTATTCTAATTCTTGTATTGAAGCCGCTATGTTTGGAGTAAAAATGATAATTGCGATGGATTTGAACAATATATCATTAAAATTCAACTGCTGTATTCAAAATTTAAATATTCATCACACCAAAATTTTTACATTACTCTAGTCTATCAGAATATCACGATTGGTCATTTTTGTCATGACATTGGGGCAGTGTTAAGGTAATACTACCTGTTTTAGAATTTACGTTCAGAATTTAATAAGACTTGGCATATTGGTACATAATAACATCATAATTGATCAGTTAAATTTTTGAAAGCCTACAGAGAACTGAAAAAAAAATCAATCTTTAAAAATTTTTGCCTTCACTATTGATCCTTTCGGGAAATCATAGACTTTATTTTGTTTCATAAAACTGGACGTTCAGACTTCTACGATAGTGGTGTCATGACTGTACTATAAGAATACTTCAGAATTTAGACTGTGGAATTTTTTTTTCAGTTTTTTCCATTATTGGGCCTTCAAAAATTCTACTGATCAATTATGAATGTTACAATGTCCCAATATGCCAAGTTTCATTAAATTCTGAACGTGAATTCTAAAACGAGTAGTACTACCGTAATCAACCATGACCCACTGTTGGCTTAGAAATGACCAGTCGTGGTCTCCTTTGAGAATTTTAGAGTCATTTAAGACGTGAACTTGACGCAAAGTTTTACTGACATTGAAGATCTCAACTGTAGATATTCAAAAATAGTTAAACTAAACTTTAATAATAAATTTGATAATTATTATCAATATATATTGTTAGATAACGACATTTCATTTTACCCTAAATCGAATTTTTATCTAAAGAAGATTACTAAGTACACCCGTCGGCAGAGTTTCAGTAGCTCATGTCTTTCAATTTTATGAATCCGCCCTCTCATATCGCGTATCCCGTCCATTAGATGAATTTTTATTTTATGTATACTAGCGATAAGTTTGCACACAAGTTAACCAAGTAACAATAACATGAAGATTTATTGTCGCAGAAATTGATAAATAAATGTGTTAGCAAATAAACACGAAATGAGCAGAGAAAAACAAGGTTGAAAAATATACTTGGATAGCTTTAATGATCATTCCTTAAATAATTTTATTGGTTCAGGAAATAAGAAGAGAAAAAAAAAACGATGTGAAAGGTAATAGAATTCTCTAATAGAATAAAATATTGCAAAATTGCTGGTAGAAATGTTATATGGATACCGCTTTAATGATGTAATTTCTTGAGGGATTTTGATGACTCCTTCCATAAGAAAAGAATTGAAACGTAAAAATAACTCAATGAAAAAATTTTTTATAACAAAATGTAAAAAAAACCTTAAATTCAAGTTTATAAAAGGGTTAAAATTTTACAACGTAATAACTTGAATGTAGCTGGGTATCAAAAACAAGAATTTGTTCGAAAATGTGAGAATATTGATTGGGATGAAGGGTAAATTTTCCCCTCATAAGCAGAGGTGGAAAATCTTAGTTCTTGAGAATTAGTGTAGATTTTATGGTTTTAATAAAAGTAAATAAAAGAGGCTCTAAGTCTTCATTCAGAGCCTGAATTGATTTTTTTCTTTTAGCTCCCAGAAAATTGAAGTTTGCCCACCTCTGATATAGGTGAAATAAAATTTACCCTACAGCAGAGGAAAAAATTGAGATTAAACCAAATCTGAGGTTTCATATTTTCGTTCTTTTCTTGTAATTTATGGAATCTACCTTTTTGAAAAGAGACAACTAATGAGAATAGGACTCCAACTCCAGTGTGTTTTACTACTTGAGTTATCCTTACTTAGAAGCAAAATTAACTCATTCTGACTGATATAAAGAGTGACAGTCTCAGAGGAGATTACGAGAGGCATCGGTATTTTTTTGATGGTTGAAAAGTTGCTAGATTTTTTATGAAAAAATTGGTATTGACCATCTTGTCATTTAACAAATAAATAAATAAAACCTTCAATTATTCAATACAATAATGACAACAATTTCACTGTAATCACATTAAGAACTAATAAAGCTACAAGGAGAGAATTTCTTCCCTAAATGTAAGTGCAAAAAGTAACAAGTCCATATTTCGAATTTTAAAAGTAAAAATATTTCTATTCGATAATCAATTTTGAGTTCATTCAAGTTAACTTGATACTTCAAAGATATCTTAGTAAAATAATTACTTACGCCAACCCAAAATTCACTGTTGAACAGATATATTTTTACTTCTAAATTTCGAAATATGCACTTGTCATTTTTACGCTTACGTTCAGTGAAAAAATTCTCTCTGTGCAGAAGACATGACATGTCTATCAATATTAAAGTATCATGTCAGTCCGTAAGTCCGTGCGTATTTAGTACATGTGAAGAACAAAAAAAGAAAACTCAAATATATTTATTCAATTAATTATGTATTGGCAATTATTATTTACAACTAACTGCCATCTGTTTGGTAATTTGTATAGTTCTTTCTTGTGAAAATGTTCCGGTTTGGAGTCGAAATACTTCAATACATATGGACTAACTTGATAATATAAAATTCAATTGGATAAATGTAAAAATTTTTTAGCAATCTTTTATATCAAGTTTTGAAATAAACAATGGATTGTGAAGTATAAATATTTTATTAAATTTTTTAAAACCATAATTACATTAAATCTTTAATTTCCTAGAGATAGTATTTGATTTAGGTAATTTTGATACTTTAAAGTGCATAATTTATCTAGTGCTATGTGAATAAATGATTCTTTTGATGTAGCTTATATTTTATTGATTAAAGAACTTATTCGAGAAAAGTGAAAAAGAATATTAAAAAAATTTTATTCAAGTTATTTGATAAACTTATATTCCCTTTAACAACACATGTTTACAGCACTTTGGCGACAAAATTCATCATAATAAAAATGAAAAAGTGTTTTTATTTTATAGAGATAGAAATTTCCGATTTCAAATACTACAATCAAAAGAGTATTCATCATAAAAAACACCAAAAATAAACAAAAAAAAATCTTCTTTATCGACAATTTTACAAACTGAGTTGTTATTGAAAAGAAACAAAAATTTTTTTCAATGCAAATGAGCTTTGCAAATATTCGCAATTTGATAATAAACTTTGAACGATGAAAATTCATGTCAATTACTAAACAGTGGTCAAGCGAAAACCGCACAAAATGCTATCAATTGTCAATGGAAGCGTGAACATGAGCTCTGTCTGCGTCATAACCCCCATCGTGAATTTATATCGAACTAGACGATTCCACTGTTGCAAAAGTTCTATCTCAATTTAGCCAGAGCACTGTGGTATATATAAGTCCATAGGGAGTCAATCCTCATGGGTAATTGACGCTATCAATGAATTTCAAGATAGACCGGGATAATTTCAAGATTTAGATAGGAAACTTTTGAAGCAGATAAGAATTTTTACTTTACTTCTTTTATTATCAGTTTAATCGGAGCTTCTCATCATCTTTTTTTCTTCTTTATTACTATTCACCACCCGTTTTGCCGAAATTTCATTGTACTGAATTTATTGAACCCAAATACTTCTTTGTTACAAGAATCTAATTGTTACAGTGCACGAGAATTTTTTATTTTTCGTTCACTTTGAATTAAAGAGGAACTATTATGCTCTAGAAATATTACTACCTTTAGAAATTAATGATTAGCTTTGTTAACAACGTTTAAAATTTACTTTCCAAAAAAAATTTTTTAAAGATGTGAGTATTACGAAATTAATTACTTAGAAGCTGAATTTTTTTTAGAGAACAAAAATTGTTGGAAGCTATGCAGAATTATCTAGACGAAAGATTTAGCAGCAGACAGTATAAATAATCATTGCGTATTAATATTGGATCTGAAGTAAAACAATC